CTCAGAGCACCTGGGGGTGGGGCTAGTGCAGCATGTGGTGCCAGGGATGGAACTCTGGTCCATGCACTTGCCTAAGCAGGGCACTTAGTCTGCTGAGATATCTTGCCAGCCCTATATAGTTTATTTTAAAGTATTTCACTTGAACCCATGATCCTATTTATACATTTGTTCTTTAGTCATATGAAATAGGTTTAAGTTGGCCTTGCATGTTTTGGGTTCAGCTTTCAAAACGCTCTCACAACTACTCATTTTCTGTTTTATTTGTTCTAGGATGGCATTCGTGTGTATTTGCCAAATAGGAGCAGAGCCCAGAAAGCACTCTGGACACTATCTCATTATTCTCCATAATAATGTTGTTTGTATAACAGTTATACTCCTGTAATGTTATTGTCTTCAAAACCAAGATGATTTGGTTGTTAAACTTAAATTGCTTAAATCCAAAGTAAGAATAACCTAAACTGTGTTGTAGGACTACTCTGGGAGGGATTTATTAGCTAAGCAACTAGATGTTTTCAGCACATCTGAGAGACCTGCTCCCATGAACAAAGAGGTGTGCATGCTAAAGACCTCAAGCAGATTAAAATATTTCCATCTAGAGTCTTTCCTTAGGAGTTGGGGCAGTTTGCTCTGGGCTGATAGCAACACCCGGCGTCTGCAGATGCTTTGTAGTGTCCGTGTCTAGGGGACTCTGTGATGACGCTATAAACTCCAACTTGTCTACTCAAGATCCATCGAAGTTTCTGCTTATGTTGGTTTAAATTTGACCCAGTGGCCTCCAATGTAGCTGAAGTAAACCTTGTCAGGAACATGAGTGCCCTTTTGATACGGAAATCAGGTGAGGCCTTTATAACAGGAAGTGGAGTTTCACTGAAACTGAGGAAGGCCATTTTTTTTTTTTTTTTTTTTTTTTTTTGGTAGTACACAGAGTCAGCTAGAAATAAGACATTACATTTTTCATTTGGAGAATTAACAACCCTAATTCTCTGAACCTAAAATGTAGTAATGGCAGGTTTTGTCTCTTGGTTTGGATTTCAAGCTGTATTATCCAGACTAAGTACTTGGACTGTCACAGCTGGGTACTAGATCTTAATATCAAAATCTGCTACCAAACCACAGGCGATCGATGTTTAACAGCAGAGAGAATAAATGATGGATCTTGGCAGGTGTCCAAGGCTCTACAAAAATTCACATCAAATTACAAAAGATGATGAGTAGTTCGATTAAGATTTATTGCCTTGATTCACCTTGATTACTCATTATTTCAAGAGCATTTCTTTGGAGATGGGCTCATTAGCATAGCTTTGGGCTCCAAGCAGAAGAAAATACGGGAAATTACATGCAGAAATCAGTAGTGTTGGATGCTGTCTTTTCCAGGACGGGACTAAGAGGCTTGTGAATAGCACAGAAAACATCTGCTGTAATGAACAGCATGGAGCACACGGGCAGCAAGGTCCAACGAGAAATGGTTGGCAAAAACTTCCTCACAAAGATGTAACATAGCACTCACCCACCTCCTCACAATACTTCAGGTCCACGGATTTGCCATCGCTCCGGACACAGTCCAACAGCCTTGTCTTAATGCCATTTCCACACACTGCCTTCTCACTCAGCTGACAAGTACTCCAGTCTGCAAGGGAGGAAGCCCGTGAGAACAGAAGGCTGTGTGTGGAACAGATTTCAAATGAAAGTCTGGTGACCTGAATCCCATACTTAATTCAAACCTGCTTCATAAGCCCTGCAATCAATCATCCCACATACAGAGCATACGGGCCCCAGCTTTGACCATATCAGGAGTCCAATAGAATTGCTGGGCTTGCACATAGCTGCAGGGATTATTTTTTGAGGCAGATGTCTACTTGACAAGCTTGATAGCTAGCTGTTTGATGATACTGGAAAAATGAGTTGGGCCCACAGATCAATGTCACTTAAATATTTTTTCTAATAAGGGTAGAATTTAAATATTTAGCATTCTTTTTGTTTTAGCAAAATCACCATAGTTTTTATAGGTGATACTTTATGGAGCTATATTCTAATAAAATTACCTATTTTATTAATATCCATATTTAGAATGTTTTAAAGACCAAGTGACTTTAGGCACAGTACTTCTTTTTTTTTTTTTTTAAATAATTTTTTCATCTTTTGTTCTGACTAAGACAGCATGTCCCAGAGAGTTTTGATGGTTTTGGTATCATGAAAACAAACTGAAGAGAAAAATTAAAAGAAACAAAAAGCCAGTATAACTGTGGTATTATTGTACTTGCCAAATTCTAAAATTAGCCTTGGCCTTGTCCCATATCATGAAGCTACGAAATATTTTCTTGTTGTATGCAAAAGATTAAATAGATTTTAGGGCAAAAGAAATTTATAGTAAGTTTGGTTGACTGAAAAGCACTCATGTATTTTTCTCTCCTTGTCATAACAATGATTTATAATATTTTGCCAATTTAAGACTGCTTATGATTTTATAATGAACTAGCCATCCTTATAAACTACCCACACCCCCAAGAACTGTTGCTACAGTATGTTATAGCAATTACATATCTGACAAAGAAAGACGTCTTTCAGTGAATTTGGACTCTGTGAAAAACACTTCTTTCATTTGTGTCTTTCCAGATCTGGAAGATATTTCAAATAGGATTACTTGGAGTATTCATAACCTACTTTATGGGTCACTGTCTGTCGAGACTTTTAGTTTTTATATCTTCATGTTGGCTAAAAATAGAACAGATAAGTGTTTCTGTTGTTCAATAAATAACTATTTCTGGGCGCATAAGTTCTAGCTTCAAAAAGCACACAGACGGAGAAGAACCATAGTGACGTGAATGTCTCAGGGCGGACAGACCTGAGATTTGGCCTTTAGCTCCGGGGAGAGATGACTTTCCACATACCCGTCACGTTATAATCGTAGTGGAAGCAGTTTTTGTTCAGGACACAGGGTTCCTTTTCGACAGCATCAGGGCAGGCCCTTCCTTCACCACCAGGTCGTCTGATGGGATCCGCTGACCTTTGCCGGTAGCTGCTTTGATTGCAGGGCTTGTAGGGAACAATAAGACTCCTCAGAAAGGTGAATTCTTAGGCACGCAACAGCTAGGACATTAGGCACAGTACTGGAGCAGGAGTTAGAATATTTGGGCCACTGGCTAACTTGAGCAAGTCAGCTAATCTGATTATGTTCAGTTTTTTTCATGCAGAAAATGAAGTTGTTAGATGAGGCTGAAGTTCCATCTAGTTATAAGATGTGTAAGATTCCATATACCAAATACCAACACACACAGCATCTCATGTCTATGCCAGCGTATATTAAGGTCATGTTTGCTGCTGTATAATGCTAATTCCTTAATGGAAAACTATGCGTACATTCTCTTTCACTAGGAAAATCTTTTTAAGAGTTATTTGAAGTCATTGTCTTCATGATATTTATTTTCTTAATGCATACACATATATACACACATTACAATTAGCACCTGAAAAAAATGGGGCTGCCACTTTCCCACTGATTCAGTCTTTCGAAATGGCCGCGCTCTAAGAAAGGAAGCAGATAAGGACATACATGCCTTCTTGGACTGTTTTAGGCCTGAAGAACTGCTTCCTGCTCCTCGGCTCCTTGCTGTGCTTTGAGCACACACTGAAAAGACCCTAACTATTCTCTTAGAATGTGTTATGTATTTGTTATGTTGCTCCGTCCTCTGAGCGTGCATTGAGAGGCCTCTGCGTCTCGTGTTGGCTTGTATCTCGTGTATGCGTGGGGTCCTCTGCACTCCCAGCGCAGCTCTTAGAAGGCAAAACTAATGAAACAAGTTGAGGGAAATGTAAATCCCAAGCAGCACAGCTGTTCAACTGAGTTTTACTGTTCTTCCAAATATTTCTATGGCACACTGACAGGAAGATAATCTCTCTCTCTCTCTCTCTCTCTCTCTCTCTCTCTCTCTCTCTCTCTCATCTTCTTGAGATATGTTCTCCCTGTGCAACTCAGGCTGGCCTTAAGCTCAATTTGTAGCCCAGACTAGTCTCAAACTCACAGCAATCTTCCTACGTGAGCCTCCTGAGTGCTGGGATTATAGGCAGACAGCACCATGTGCGGCTGATAGTATAGATTTCCCTAATTCTCTTTTATACTTAGGACAGTTGCAACTATTTTTCCAAAATGATTAACCTTTGTCTTTTAAAACACAAATAATATGGGCATAATTATATCACAGTGGTTCTTGTTATTAGAATCTCATTAATGCATTTAAGAAATAGCTAGGCTCAGCAGTCCCCATTTTATAAAAAATGGAATCTTTTTGCAACTGAATCTGTATCAGTAAGAAACTAAAAAGAAAAGAATCTATCACGTATAAACATGGACACTGTAGATGGTAGCTTCACTGTTGGCATAAGCTCAAATCTAATAGAATGGAATTAGAAGAGAAATTTATATGCCTGAAGTCATGGCCTGTGTGTAGATGGCCCCCCACCAAAGCCTCATGTCGTCAAGGTGGGGCTCTCCAGAGGGGGCTGGATGTAGAGTGTGTGACGTTGGGTTTGATTCATGGTGCAATGCCAAGGTCAAGGGCGCTAGGCTTCAGGTGTGGCTGCTGCGGCTGCCCCTCGCTGCTGTGCTCCGTTCTGCCCACCATGCGCTGTTCCTCCTCTGTGATGCCTGTGTGCCACACCACCCCAGCCTGACTCAGCCACTTACAGACTGAAAGTTCTGCAAGCTGTGAGCTAAATGCTACCTTCCTCCTTTAACTTTGGGTGTTGGGTATTTGGTTTTAGCAACAAGAAAAATAAGACACATGCTCTTGTGAAAAGTTGGCTTTGCTTTGCACTTTAACCTGCTGTAAAATCAAATGCCAGGCCCATTTTGTTTCAGCTGCATTATTTAGTTGCCAGTCAACATCTTTGAAGCAATTTCTCCTTAGAAAAAGATTCTCTACACTTTTCTTTAACATTCTTCTATAGAGCATTTCAGCAAATAAGTCCATATCTGACAAAAATTTCCATGGTTTCAATGCATTTTTAAAAGGCACACATCTGCGGAGGTGTCAAAGATAAGTAAACTTTCCAAGTATGCAGGGGTGTTTCAAGTGATACCTTTCCCAGAATCCCATGGTACAGCTCCTGCTGCTATTGAAACCCAGAGCTTTGGAATCTTGGAACTCTCAGCTGCAGAGTTAGAGTGGAGGGAGAGTCACTGGTGTGCATCTCTCTTCACTCTACTCAGATTTTTATCCAGCATCTTTTACCTTTTGGTGTTAAAACTGCTGCTGCAGTGCTCCAACTGTATGCAGAATTATTCCTACTATATGCCTGGGAAAAATGGAAGGATGATAACAAACTGACACTCTTAAAATGATTTTACTAGAGCACCCTTCTTTTTGTCTCTCCTTCAAGGGAATCATTGTAACAACTGCAGTTTTTATCATGCTGTGCATTTGCAAAGACAGCTGAAGGCACCGTGTGTTCTGGGCTGTGGCAAAAACCTTGCAAGAGGCAGAGCTGCTTAGTGTGAGAGGACACATTGTTGACGTTCCTCAGCCCTGCGATGGAACGATGACGTTCCTCAGCCCTGCGATGGAACGATGGAACGAACTGGCTAAGAACACATGCTTTGCATTGGCAAATGGGGTTCATAAACAGATTTTACATCAAAGTTATCCTCTCTCCTAATACCTTGAAGGCTTTAGTGGTAAGGAATCAAGCAAACTATACATCATTAAAATGATGAATTATCTCACCAAAGCACAAAGGGTCCATGGACCCCACTCAGACATTACGCAGTCCTCAGGGCAAGGCAATTTGCACTCTCGAGAGCCCAGGGGCATCTCCTCTGGGTCACAGAGGTAATCCTCCACAACTTCAGAAGGGCCATCTGCTGTGTTCTGCATGCATCTAGAAAAAAAATATACCAGTAGAGGAATTATGATAAATAGAATAGAGGCTAATGCAAAAAATAGTTGGTTCTTATACCATCTCAGCATTGGGCAGGAAACTTTGTATCCATTCAGTGAATGCCTACAAAAAAGAATCTCAAAAGGATAGCTGTCTCCCCCGACCCGTTGCAGTGCTTCTGCTTGAGCTAAAAATATATGCTTTCATGCATGATTATAATATATGTGCATATGCAAATTCTGCCTTGTAGCAAGCTTTCCTTGAAAAGAAAGGGTCATTGAGATTCACTCATGAGGCAGGAGCTAATGAGGTGGTCCAAAGAGACTCACAGGGGGCTGGGTAGATGGCTCAGTGGAATAAGCACTTCCTTGGCAAGTGCAAGGGCTTGAGTTCAATCCCCGGTTCCTCAAAAAGACCAAACCAAACCAACCAAACAAACAAACAAAAAAAAACAAAGAGACTCACAGGGAGGTTACAACGTTGGTTTATTATTTATGTTTGTCACACAAGAATAAGAGAAGGTTGATGTGATTTGCATATGATGGAAGCCTAGACATATTGTAATACCTATTTGAAAGATTTTATGTAGTGTTTTTAAAGATAACTGGAGACATTTATCAGTTTGTTTTGCCATTTTAAAAGTAACTTCAGCCTCCATCTATTGCTAACCTGAAGGGAAGGCAAGCAGTCATAAGAAAATTATAATCAGCAAAGCGCAAGTCCTCTCTCTGAATGTGGTTACTTGGATTTATTGTGTCTTGATGTTTTTAATCATTAGTTTTCTTTTTGACTAGGCAAATAAACCTAGCATTCATTCATTGTATTCTAAGCAGTTAGGAAGGACTCTGTACTTATCTTAGGAATTCAATTAGTGTGGCTTTTCTTTCACCACAGTAACAGTCTCTCTCTCTCTCTGGACACTTCAGTAGAGGAAGGAAAAGCTTTATTCCTCATCTATCACTTGGAAAAGGTCAACCAAATTAATACATTTGGGAGAAGAACAGCATAGAGGAAGTGAGAAGGAAGGCTCCTGCTCTTACATCTCACAGCCCACTGCAGTCTTTTACCTACTTGCATTGTGTTACCAGCTTTACCTGGAATTTCAATTTTCCCAAGGATTTAGGATCAGTATAGACACTGAACCTTTACAAATCTACTCTGCGAGTCATGTTTCTGTAAAGAGCTCCAAATGTGAAGGAAGTACCCTTTTCCTGTAGGATATATTTTGACTTGAAAGCTATGCATGGCAGTGTCCAGATTGGGCTGGGTAGCCTCAAAAAAAATCCACAAAAATGTATACCTCTGCATTATTTGTATATTCTCTCTCTCTCTCTCTCTCTCTCTCTCTCTCTCTCTCTCTCTCTCTCTTTCTGTCTCTCTCTCTCTCTTTTGTACCAGAAATTGAACTCAGGACTTGGCGCTTGCCACTCAGGCCCTTGAGCCACTGAGTTCTATCCCCAACCCCTGTATATTCTCTATGTAAAAAGCAGCCACAAAGACATATGCAGGTAGATATTTGTTGATTTCATTGCCGCAAAATCAAGCAATAATCTCTTTGTGGGGACTTTAGTTCCCAGATAAAGCACTACCTGCAAGAGCATTTTAAAAACTTTCTTAGGGCTGGAGAGATAGCTCAGAGGACTAAGCGCCTGTTTAGGCAAGTGCAGGGACCAGGGTTCGATCGCTGGCACCACGTGCCACACCACCCCTGCCCTTGGGTGCACTACACCGGCGACCAAGTCCGGGCATGGTGGTGCACACCTGCAATCCCAGTGCGGAGGAGGCTGAAAGCAGGAGGATCACTTTGAGTCCGAGCTGTGTAGAGACATCCTGTACCAAATACATTAAAAACCTCTTTATACAGCAGCTTGAAAAGGACATGTGTGGGCAAGTCATCGCCCTGCTCAGAAGCTGGGTTTAATTCTGAGACTGCATTCATGGTGGGTACTGACGTGTGCACATGAACAAGGACTGGGCTGCAAACATTTGATCCAAATGAAGGACAGATATTCAGTGTCTACTAAGTGTCTATGCACATGGACTTCATTTTCCACGTTTTTCCTTTTGTATGATACAATTCATGTATGTATTTAAGGAAAATCAGAAGAAATAAGAATGCATATTATATA